GGTAAATTGGCCACCGTAACGACTACAAAAGCTGACGTTTCGAAACGTCAGCTTTTGTAATCGTTACGGTGGCCAATTTACCATTTCAACTTTGTTGATATATCCAAATATTTTCGTTACTCCCATCGACGCAGCCCCAAACAGTTTCTTTCGAAACTATCAGCCTTTATTCATAACTCAATAGTGTACGCTGTGGTGTTTACCATTTGTTGATTTGAAAGTAAGGTTCTATCTAAATGACTTTGTCATAATTCTTGTAAAAAAAAAAATAACCAACCCGATTACATGTCTCACTACCTGTACTATGATTGGTCAATCTAGTAGACTGTATATCCTTTTATGGCCCGCTAAATTCAAAAGTTGTTTTTTTTAAATCTCCCCCCACTATTTAAACCTGGAGATATAAGAAATATCTTGGCTAGTCTCGTTTTCTCGGTGCACACTATGAGTTACAGAACCTCGTTTTCCCGCAACCTCGTTCCCAGGGCCTTTTCCTTAGGGGAAAAGGCCCCGGGAACGAGGTTGCGTTTTTCCGCTCGAATTTATAAATCGGCGCGGAAAAAAAAACCCGCTCAGTAACTTACACTACCGACCTCGAACTCGGCTCGGAATAGGCAGGTATAACAATAATGATAATAATGATGATGATGATGATGATGATGATGATAATAATAATAATGAGGATTTCTATAGCACCATATCCCACAACTTATGGTGCTATTAACAATTTGTGGGGGACTTTGGTCACACTGCGTTGAGTAGTTTGCAATATTTTAAAGGAAATTTCTGCAGTGCTCCCAATATCAGAGTCAAGTCCGTACCAAAACATCTGGAGCTATGTTCTCCAATGTTTGCAATAAGTGTGTGGGTTCTTAACGTCCCTGCTTACCAGTACAGAAAAGATGCAGGAGGCGGGGCTAACGGTTTTTCGTCTTTATCCAAGAAGACTAGAATGTCTAACCATTTGTAGATGTCATAGCAAAGGCAGCACATTGTCCTCAGTTATTTTAAGACCCTGAGTGTTAATCCAGTCTGGGGCTTATACCCTCGACCTCCCACATGGCAGTATAGCGCTTTATTACATGAGCTGATCAGGCGGCGATATGGCAGAATAGCACACGCCTTTAAAGGTGCTAAGCCACATCAACTCTATTCAAAGGAGTTTGAATTTTTTACCGACGTAGACGAACACCAAAGCTAGGTAATGGCTTTAACCAATTTGAAAACCATCGAGCATAAGGATAGCTGAGGAAAACTATAAAGAACGCTGCATTAACTGCAAAAGACGAAAAATAACGTGGTGGTAAAAGTGATAATGACCGTCATAACTCTTGATTAATGCATGAGTCAATCTGTGCGGCGTGTAGTAATTGGTTCAACGCTGTCACTGTTTTTGTTCATGTGGTTTCAAATTTTCAATCCAGCTCAACTATGATTTTCTTTTCTTCCGGATTACGATTATGAGTCCCAGATAAATGGGAATGGGAAGAAATAAATGAGTACTTAGCGATGGAATTTCTTCTAAGCGGCTCTTTTTGTCTACTGTTTCCCGGTCGAATCCGAATTTGAATTGTTGGTTTTTGCAGGGGGGAGGAAAATCCTTGGAGCAAGGACGAGAACCAACAACAAACTCTAACCAAATGTGACACTAGGTCAGGGAATCGAACCCGGACCAAGGTGGTGGAGGCGAGAGCTCTCAGCACTGCGCCATCCCTGCCTCTCTGCCTGTTTCGCAGAAAAAGAAAACAAGAAATCAAACTGATTTGAACTTTTTCAAACTGAGTAAAAAATTGTGATGAAAGTCTACCCTAAAAATGGGTTGGTATGAATTTCTAACTTGCTTTGTAGTTAGTAAATGGTTTTCGTCTTTGTTATTTTCGCAGACGTCCTCGCAACGCTGGTCATTAATACAAGCTATAGAGGATTTTACTTGCAGAGCCCCAAATCTGACTCGCACATTCCGGTTTTGTCCTACTCTGAGATCGTAAGTAAAGCAAAGTGATTCTAATTTAAACTAAAGTTAAAAATTAGTGACGCAGTGATCTTGGCATGTTAACGGCAATTTAGAGAAATTGCATACTCAGGCTGAAAAGAGGCCAGAAACTTTTCATAGTTCCTCGCCAGTGATTCTTTCTTTTATTGCAGCTTAACTGCGAGAATAATTTCATTAATGCTTGTTATAACCCGCATGCCAATTTCTGATTAGTTGTATTAGTCAGGGAGCAGAAACCGAAAAAATGGGAGTTTCGTTCAACCATCACCACAGAAAATATTTGACAGCTGATTCTTGTAGAGAAAGACCTCCTGATCAAAGCCAGGTAGTTCGTAAAGTTGAATTGTGGTATACGGATCAGCATGGAAACGAGGCTTCACACTCGAACGCAGTTTACATCGCTATTTCTTCGTAAAAATCAACGATTCGAACCACTCAATCTAAACGTCGTTAAATATACATCTGCTTTATTTGTAAGTGATGCAGTATGTCACGTGATTAGTCACG